CTAATAGAATATACCATTCCAACTGAAATTCATGTACGATCTCAATTTTAAATTCATCCTAGACTTTAAAATTAGACAGCTTAAAGTTAAAAGGAGAAAAAGTTGGGAGTAACTAAAAAGAGGCCACAATTACTAGGACTGGGATAAGAATCTAGAACCTGGCTCCTCAGATATGGGTTGTTAGTTAAGTCACAAGTCTTTACCAGATGTTGTTAGCCTAGTTTTATTTTTAAAAAATATTCTATAATTTAAAGTTATCACCAATTAAACCTACATTTCACTTCTACCCTCCCTACTCCTGTCCAAATAATGAGATTTTACTATCAGAGCCATTTAAAAAGTGTTCAAATTTATTTAAAGTAGAATTAAAAGGCAGTTAAAGAAAAAATAAACCTTTCATCTGTATTTCTAAGTATATCAAAGATAGCCAAGCTGAAGTTCAAAAGGCATATTAGGCTTTATATTTAAAAGTGCTCTTTTAGTTAATAGCAAGGCATGATGTTTGTCATTACGGGAAACAAGAGAAAGAGGTTAATGCCAGATTGAATTAGCAATATACAGTCTCCTTATCACAAGTAAAGTGGTGGGCTTTTACTTAAGTGGAAAGATGCTGATGTGCCAGAAGCAAGTCAAAGGAAGAGCTGTTGACAGGCTTTGAGTAGTTAATAATCAATCTTGACTTCCAAGCTAAGTCAAGATTTAATATTGAGATTCAAACTGCTTCCTGACTACTGACCATGTGAACCATGTTTTGGTCAAAGACACAGAGAATCAAGGAAGAATGAAATGAAAAGTGAGCATTGGGTTCACCGGTGCCTTAATCAAGAGAAAACACCTATAGACTTCTCTTGCTGGAAAGATTACTAAGGATCTGCATTAGGGTCTGTTTCTAGAAACGTTCCTGGGCAGTTCAACAAATTAGAGGAAAATGAAGTCTGAGATGGATTTTACAGTCCAAGATGGACTAGTAGGCATTAAAAATGCTTACTAATCAACTAGCAAGATCAACTCACACTGAAAACTTTGGCATAAGAGGAACTGATCTTGTCTTATAAAAAAGTTTCTCTCGGGCTTCCCTGGTGGTGCAGTGGTTGAGAGTCCGCCTGCCGATGCAGGGGACACGGGTTCGTGCCCCGGTCTGGGAGGATCCCACATGCCACGGAGCGGTTGGGCCCGTGAGCCATGGCCGCTGAGCCTCCGCGTCCGGAGCCTGTGCTCCGCAACAGGAGAGGCCACAACAGTGAGAGGCCCGTATACAGGAAAAAAAAAAAAAAAAGTTTCTCTCTATAGAATAGAAAGGAAGTCAATTATTAGAGGAAGGTACAAATACTAACTATTTGCACAGTATTTTGGTACAAAATGAAAACTGACAGTATGAAGTAATAGATTGGAGCCCTGGATCTCTCTCCCATCCCCCAGCTGTAGTTTCATTTCTGACTTTCTTATATTACAGTTGAGTTTCATTACTGGCTCCTGACCACTCTGGGCTACCTTCCTCCCAGACTTAATAGCGTAGGTAATAGTAGTTGGTAAATAACTTTAGAGATTTTAGCACCATGAACCATGAGGCATATTAATGTATTTGATCATTCATGCATATAGCGTCTTAGTGTCAAGGACAGGCCATCAGTATTAAGAAGTTTAAGCAGCTATCTCCTAATCCTAGAAGTGGACAAGTAATTCTAATGGTGAATTATAAGTGCCCCCCCATCAATCTCCTTAAAGTGCATTTATTAGGTCCTTGAAGTATATCACCTATGGGTTGAAAGTATATGAAATGTAGGTACTCGTTTACTTTTAAGTACTGTAAAGTCATAGAAAAAAAGGCAACTTAGAGCCAAGCTCAGAATATGAAATCTCTCCTACAAGATTAGACTGTCTTTTGTTATTTCTTTCTTTCATCTTAATTTTATAAATATATGCATGAGCACATTTTAAAAAATTTGATTAGACTAGTTTTGATTTGACATAAGCAACACTTGATTAGCGCAGTTTTGATTTGACATAAGTAACAATCCAAAAGGTGTAAAATATTTTTGTTTACTACAAACCTGTGGACTCAAAACTACCCTAAAAATTCTAAGAAAATTTTTATCTAGCCTCTTAGCTGAAAAAAGAATAGAAGGCTTTAGAGCAAACTCAGCAATTAGAAAGCTAAGAAACCAAGTAACAGCAACATTACCATACTACAAAAAAGTTATACCAAAAATAGTAAAGTTAAATGTCATATTTTTTTAAAGTCCCTCTTATCTATTTATTGATTGGCACTGTGCTGAGAATTTGGTAGGGGAAAGAAAACTTCAAAAATGTTTAAAAAGGTCTACTGACAAAGAACAGACTTTGTTATTTTTCAGGTATGTGATTACTTTATTATCACTTTTTACCATTGATTTTTAAAAAACCTGTATACTGGGCTTCCCTGGTGGCACAGTGGTTAAGAGTCCGCCTGCCGATGCAGGGTACACGGGTTCGTGCCCCAGTCCGGGAAGATCCCACATACTGCAGAGCGGCTAGGCCCATGAGCCATGGCCGCTAAGCCTGCGCGTCCGGAGCCTCTGCTCCGCGACAGGAGAGGCCACAAGAGTGAGAGGCCCGCGTACCGCAAAAAAATAAATAAATAAAAATAAAAACCTGTATACTGATATAAAAATAGAAATTTTGAGGAATTCAGCGTTCTCATTTCCCTCCTTTTCCCCTAAAATTCCTAATACTTAGAAAAAAAATCTCATGATATTAAAATGGTTATATGCACAAGCTCATCACTGTAGTAAATATAAAATGTATTGTATCTGTGAGATCTAGGAATTGACTTCAGATAAATTGAGAAGAAAATTCTAAAATAATTTTTCTTATGAAGATTTAATTGGCATTTAAAAATATACAACCTTGAGTGTACATAGAATATAGAGTTCTAATACAAATTGAGAATAATTTTCGTCTTTTAAGTTAAAGACAACTCTTATTTCAACACATAGGGCTTATGACAAGCTTATATATTGAGATAAATGTTATCAGAGATGAAATATTTATAAGATGGTACCTGAGGAATACTTGTATATTCTCTATACAATGATGAAGAACCAGTTAAAAGGCATTAAAAACAGGCTAGAAAAGCAAATATGAAAGTTTACATTTCTGTAGATAAATCCTATCACAGCATGAACAACACTAATGATTTAGCAGGAAGCACTGATAAGGAAAAGTTGGCTGACCGAATATCAAGGAGAGCAATTAGGAGTCAGGAAAACAGGTTTCTAATATTAGCCCTACCAACTAAAATAACTACTGACAGTAGATCAATGGAATTAAAATCACATATACTAGAACTAGATTGGCAGGCTTCAAAGCCCAGCACTGTCATTCACTGCTGGGCAACTTCAAAGTGCATTTTTTAGGTCTTGAAGGTTAGACTCCATCAACTTTAAAATGGATAATAGTAGCCATCCCAGAGCTATTTTGAGCTGAAATAGATAATCCATGTAAGGTGCTTAGTACAATGCCTGGCACATAACAACAGCTTGCCATCACTGCTAGAGCAACCTTGAACAGTCCAACTACCTGGTTGCCAGTTTTCCTCAATGTAAATACAGGTTTGGCTGAGTCATTTCTAATGCCTTTGCCCATCTAAAACTAAAATCTACAATGTAAAAGAATGTATAGGGCCAGCTCTATTTCTAAAGAACATACATTAATATCTTTCACTCTAGCATGATTAAGGACATGGTAATTTAAATGCTACAGAAGAATCATGTTTTTAAGTCACCCCTTTGAAATTAGTTATAATGCTACATTTACTAAAGCCAAAGTTTTATGCGTTCTATGCAACCCACAGGAAATCCATGATCTTCCATCGATTATCACGTTTAGCAACTACAGTTCTGAGTACAATGGCAAAACTGTCAAAACCAATATGATCTTAAATGGAAAATGAATGTCATATAATTAACTCTACATGTTTTTAGTAGTCTACTTATGGTTATAATTTTGACTTTTACTACAGAGTATCTATATATATTAATTTGGCGCTTACAACAATTTCTGAAAAACAAGTCTTAATAGGAATCTCAAGGTACATAATCCTATTTTTTTTTAATGGCAAGAACATTTGATATTTCCTATTTAATAAATAGAACAAGTAGAGATAATACAAATTAATCTAAAGATCTAACAAAATCTCTCTACTGAAATGTTACAATTCAAAATTCAAATGGCAGGCCAACTTTTTTTATTGCCAGAATATTAAGATTCTTTTTTAGTGTGACTCAAATATTAAAAAAAAAAATCAGAATTTATCACGGTAACATTAAGATTAAGAAAACATATCCCACATGTTTCTCAGGGACAAACTACTGATACCCACAGACACATTAATTGTGCACCAACCCAAATACTTTAATAGAGATTTTTTTTTAAGTATTTGGAGAACTCTTTTTCGTATACTCTTAGAGATACTACTGAGAAATTTTAAAAGCCTTTTTAGTTTAAAGGTGTGTGTGATCACCGAAAAGAGGTTATCTAAAAATTTTAAAATGTGTTGCAGATAATAAGATAGCACTGGGGAAAAAAGTTATAGCTCACCTCAATTAGGTACTAGCACGGTAGGCCAAAAGAATAAAATTACATTCGCCTATCAATGTAAATGTTTGGTTATGTTATTTCTTAATATTAAAACAAAACAAAACACACACACACGTATGTTAAAATCTGACAACTTAAGCTCTCAAACCAGCAAAGTTTACTAGTCAATACTCATTCCTCATTTTTATATTAGTAAAATTGGGATTAATGCTGTGGGAGTTAAAAAAAAAAGTTTCTCTTAAATTCATAGCTGTGCTACCTTCAGTTTCATTTCCAGAAACCCTTATCTTTAACAGATCTCCACTTCCTACTTGACACAATTTACAATCATTCAAGAAATTTTAGTTTTACCTTGTAACTAGTTCAGCATAAAATAGTTCTGTAAAGTTCATGCCATAAAATTAATTACACTGTGTCCTTACCATCAATATTTAGCTCAAAACAAACGTGGCAGAAGGAGAGTGTTTCTTTGTCTGTTCCCAGTTTACAAACACTGCAGATGTTGTCATCATTCAAATCAATGCTTACAAACTGCTCCTCTTCGTTCATAGTGCCCCTGTTAAGAAACAGAAAAAGAAAGTTACACAATTTCAAGAACTTGCCATTAACGGCAATATTAGGAACTTCTAGGAAGACAAAGGATGCTGTTCAGGTTATCTAAAGCAACAGCCCCATCAAACAAGCATTGCCATACTTGTACTTCAATATTATACTTTTATTGTGCAAAGACACAAAGCTAGTAAAACTTAAAGCCTAGCCGTAAGTGACACTACGCCTAAGCGCCTTTTTCGGTCTTGTGTTTTATTTAGTTGACCGGGTCTGACGGAAAGCAGTTTTCGGGTATTATAGCCCACCCCCATCCCTGAGTAGGTGAAGGATCTTAGCAGCGACACCTATTCAGCTACCGGGGTCAACCTACTTAACGCTGTTAAAGGTAGGACGAACGATCTGCTCGGGACACTGCTTTGCTAACTTCATTGTGGGAACCTCAGATGCGTTTCGCTAGCTCGGCGTAGCGAGGTTTCCTATTCGAGATCCGGGGCAGGAAAATGCACATGGAAAAGTGAACACTAGGGAGGGGGCCCGGCCGCTTACAAAGCATCCTCACGGAAGGTCGGGCAGCGGCTCCGCTGTGCGGCCCGGGCACGGCCGGAGGCGGGGTGGCCAAGCAAGGCTGGGGGTCCCGGAGCCCGGCCGGCGGGAGCGCCGCGTCCCCTCGCCCCGGGCTTCCTCCCACCCAGGAAGAAGGCGTTCGAGGGCCACGGCAGCTGGTCCATCTGGACTCAGCGCCTCTGGGAGCCGGGTGCCCGGCGTTGGGGCGCGCGCTTGCCCCTCAGGGTGCCGCGAACCCGTCATTCTCTCCGACCGTCCGTCGGGGCAGCCCGCGCGGAGCAGCGCCAGGGGCCGCGGGGCTCAGAGTGCGAAGGCGGCTGGACCGAGGGGTCAGGGACCGGGGCGCAGGCAGTCGGGGGCAGGGGAGCTGGGGCTTTACCGTCCGGCTTCGCGCGCCGCCGCCGATCCGCGCGGCCCAGGCTCCTCCACTATTGTTTCCGGCCGCAGCGCAGGCGGCCGCAGCGGAGAAGGCTGCCGTGCGCCGGCCCCGCCCCCTCCCGCCGGTGCCATCCCTCGGAGGCTCTGGGGGGGATGGGGGACGGCGCGGCTGATAGCGAAGCCGCGCGCTCGCTCGGCGGCCGCGGGCACCGCCGCTCCCCTGCTGCACCGACGCCGCGGCCTCAACTCGGATTTTCTCTTGATTCCGCCCCTCTTGGCCGGGGTCTCTTACCGTTCTGTGGAAGGTAGCTCCTCGCACGCCCCCTCCTCTAGGCAAGTAGATAGAGGAGTCCGTTACCACCTCCCCCTTCAGGGTAGTGGAAACTACTGCCCCCGGGCGGGGGCCGCAGGGGCGGGGGCAGAAAAGTGATGAGTGGATGGGTGAGAGGGCCAGAGATGCGTGGGTGGAACTTCGTGTGAAATCGGTAGACTGAAGCAAAATAGTATCATTTGATCTTTGAGTTAGGTGCCAGTTGAAGTATTTAATGAGGGAAAAGTTCGTTTTCAAGTTTCATAATTTAGGGATAATCTTAAATACAGAAGCTTATTTTTTACAGATTGTCTTAGAAATGGGGCGCCCCTCCCCTGTAATATGGCGCATTCCTTACACGCCCACGAGGATAATCCCGGAGCCCCACCTCTTACTTTAGGTCCTGCCTCTTTAAAAAGCTGATCTCTTTTTGCTCACTTTGCTTGACATTTTAAACCATTTTTTTAAGGTTATAATTCATGTAACACTTTCACTTACATTTTCTATTGTAATCCTCAAAACAGCCAGAGAAGAGAAACGAAAAGAGTTTTCTTCTTTTGCATCCTAAAAATGACTAACCCAGATTATCTATTGGTTAGAAACAGAGCTGGGACTTGAACCCAAGGCTGCTGACGTAAAATCGCTGCTATTTTCCAGAGCATCATAAACAGCTGTCCTGGTTACACCAACAAAGAGAAAGGGGACTAGGTTGTCAGTCTACATGTAACCGGTGGTAGGAATGCATTCCATAGATCTTGGGAACTTCTAGACCAAACTGACACTTGATATAAACCATCAGTGCCCCAGAAAAGTGGTCTGTGTTTTTGCTACTTGAAGTGTAGGAGATGAACCAGCAACATTGGCCTCACCTGCCTGGTATCTTGTTAGAAACGTAGACTATGGAGTCTCACCCAAGACTTCCTGAATCAGAACCTGTATTTTAACAAGACCCCCCAGGTGATTCCTATGCAGATGAAAGTTTGAGAAGCACTAATTGAAATAGAAAAATCTATGCGTTTTCTACTTGAATTTCACATTCTAAGTAAATATGACTAAAATGTCTTACATCTTGGATTCTACCCATCTTTTCAATGAAAGTGCTTTCTAAAATCACTAACAAGGGACTTCCCTGGTGGTCCAGTGGGTAAGACTCTGCTCCTAAAGCAGGGGCCTGCGTTCGATCTCTGGTCAGGGAACTAGATCCCACATGCATGCCACAACGAAGATCCTGTCTGTGTGCTGCGGCTTAACGATTTTCTTGTATCGAACAAGTTCTTTTCATTTCTCAGGGTTATCTCTCTTTCTGTGGCATTTTGCCTTTTTAACTCTCCTTAAACCTTTCACCTTGTTTTTTATTTTAAATTATTTTTAAAAGCCTACACATTGGGGTTTAACTTACAGAAAAAAATTTTTCCCGTTTTAAAAGTACAGTTGCTGAGTCCACCACCCCAATTAAGATACAGAACATTTCCACGACCCCAGAATTCCCTATGCCCCTTCTCAGTCAAGCCTCCCACCAACATCTGATCTAATTTATATCACTAAAGACAAGTTTTACCTGCTCTAGGACTTTATGTACATGGAAATAAATGGTATGTATTATTTTGTGATTGCTCTCATTCAGCATGTTTTTGAGATTCACAATGATGTTTTGTAATAGTAGTTCCTTTTATTGCTGAATAATATTCCACAATTTGTTTATCCATTCACATATTGATGAATACTTGAATTGTTTCTAGTTTGGAGACTATTATAAAGCTGCTATGAGTATTAATGTAAAAGTCTCTGTGTGTTTATGTTTTCTTTCTCTTAGGGAAATAACTAGGAGTGGAATTGCCGAGTCGTATGTATGGTAAGTGTACACTTACTTTTAATTTTAAAATAAATTGCCAAACTGCTTTCCCATGTGGTTATGCCATTTTACATAGTTAGGACTGTTTTATTTTCTTGATGATTTGACCCTTTTATCATTGGTGATATTTTTATCTCTGGTGGCATTTCTTCTCCTGAAATCTACTTTATCCGATATCAATATAGCCACTCCTGCTCTCTTATGATTAGTGTTTCCATGTGTTTCTTTTCTCCTCTTTTTATTTTTAACCCCTCTATGTCTTTATACTAATGTGCTGCCTGTTTCTATTAACGGACTATTTTTTCCGCTGCTGGGTACGTCATATTTTCTTGCTTTTTATATGATATGCATTGATTAGTTGCTGAACAATGTAAAAGTGATATTGTTGAGTGTAGTAGGCAGAATAGCTCCCCAAAGATGTTCACACCCTAATCCCTGCATCCTGTGAATATGTATGTAACATAGCAAAAGAGATTTTGCAGATATAATTAAGGTTGTGGACTTTAAGAGGGAGATTATCCTGGATTACTGGGGAGTGATCCCAGTTTAATCACATGAACCCTTAAAAGCAAAGAACTTTCTCCAACTAAAGTCAAGCGATGCAGCAGAAGAGGAAGTCAAAGTGATTAGAAACTTTGAGTTAGCATTGCTCTAGGAGCAAAGACTGGATCCCAGCTGACAGCCAGCAAGGAAATGGGGACTTCAGTCCTAAAACTTGGAGAACTAAATTCAACCAAAAAACTGAATGGATTTGGAAGTTCAATCCAGAACCTGGTCTACATCTTGATTTTAGCTTTGTGAAATTCTAAATGGAGGATTAGAAATCCATTGTACCTGGACTTCTTACCTACAGAACTGTAAGATAGTAAATGGTATTGTCTTAAGCCATTAAATTTGTGTTCATTTGTTATGGCAGCATTAAAAAACTAATACATTGAGTGTCTAGATTTTTAAAGAGTGTTGGGCTTTATTTGGGAGGCTGTTACTCTAGTAGCCTATTAAACTTTTGTGAGACTCTAGACTATCCTTTTGCTATAAGAATTTCTAGTTCTCTCTTAAGGAGTGGCTTAGGCTGTCTATTGTATGTCACAGGTCTTTAATAAAGTTTCTATACTCTACTTGGAGAAAACTCAAATAATTACTTTCCCTATGAGTTCCAGTAGTTGTTCATATTGTAGTTCCCAAGTAATTCTTTTTTCCCTGGTAATTAATTTTTGCCCAGCCTCTTGGAGCTTCACCCTGTACATGCACAGCTTAGTATTCAGGTGAAGACTTAAAGCGTGTTCTGAGACTCTTTCTGTGTATAGCTCTTCCTTTCTTGCATTCCTGATTACAAATTCCAGACATCTTGTACTCCCCAGACTCAATCTTTGTCTCCTCCTCCCAGCTTTGCTTGAATCTCCTCATGTGGACCATGGTTTGAAAGTACCTCCAGGCATAAAACCAGGGCAATTGTAGGGCTCACCTCATTTGTTTCCTTTCTTTCTGGGATGACATGTTTGCTCTGCGTGTGTTTCAGTGTCTGAAAATAGTTATTTCATAAATTTTGCCCTGTTTTCTAACTTTGAAGAGCTATTCTGGTACTCCTTACTCCATCCTGGCTAGAATCCCTTGTTATTTTGTCAGTGGATCCTTCATTCATCAAATAAGAGCTTCTTCCCAGGTCTCTTTGCTTCCGATCTAGTTTTTTTTCAGTCTGTCTTTCACAGTCCATTATGAAATAAACACAGGTGAACTCCCCTTCTCAAAAACTTGTCATGGCATCTTGCCTTTCTCCTAACAGTAATACATGAATCTATTCAGCATTTAGACAGTTACAATGGGCTTTCCAGTTTACTGTCTCATTTGATAAAACCTAACATTTACTTGGATAGTCAAGGATTTTATTTTTAATTAACTGCAATCCTTTCTAATTTAGTAACTGAGTAAAGTGTGCAAAAATGTGTTACAAACTGTAAGGGGATATATACAAAGATTAGTTATATAATTTGTTCTTGACCTAAAACCGACATTACCTTGACTTCAGGCTTAAATCAGTTAGGAATCCTTTCAGATGAAAGTAACAGGAAACCTGATTAACAGTGTCTGAATCAGGTAAGGTTTTATTTGTTTCACCGAACAAGATCTGAGGAGCCATCTCCCGGCAGTGGTTCACTGGCTCATTATATCGGGACTACCTTCTCTGCATCTATTCTGGCTTTCCCTTTCAAGAGCAGAATGGCTGCCCTACAGTTAAGCAACATATTGTCTTCCAGGCAAGAGGATGGAAATGGAAGATGTAGGGAGAAGTGGGAGGGAAAGCTGCCTCTTTCATTTTTGTGAGGAAGGAAAAGCTTTCCTGAGAGACCCCAGCAGATTTCTGCTTATATCTAATCACTAGAAATTACATGACAACAATGGATTCTAGGGAAGTATTTAGTTTTTTCAACCTCTATAACAGAGGCAAGGAAAAGAAGTTAGGTATATAAACCAACAATGACTGCTAGAGAGTTTACATAATTTTCTTTTCTGAATATCATTTTTATGTCTGCTCTGGTGCAAATGACCCTCGCTCATCATTCCAATGAATGTCTGCTATAAAAATTTCTCTAATCTTCTCGCTTTTCTGAATCCCCACAACTCTTGTTCATACCACTGCTATTCTTGGTATTTTTTCTGGCATGTTCCTATTTTAAAGTAAAGGATTCAGTATACTTAGTGTATCTATTCATCCATCTCTTACCTTTGCTGCCTTTGCTTCTCTTTATGTGTTAATTCATTCTCTGCTGTTGGAGATGTGCTTCATCCATTTAGCCTGGAAGATTGATGCATGCAGCCCCAGGCTTAGAGCCTTCTAGTACCATGACCCTAAAGGACCCAGAAACTCAAGATGTGTGCATAATCAATTGCATTATTATTTCCACTTCTTCATACCCTCCCTCTGCCATGTGACCTCATAGCTCACTATAGTG